AATAAATACAAAAATGATTTAGTCTTAAGAAATTCTTATATACTATGTATATGTATATACTAAGTCACCTCAATCACTAATGACTTTTGCATTAATAACATACATGCTCATCACCTTTGATTTGTTACAATCTGTTCAGAATTTGATGGTTTTAACTTTGGAATTAATTCTCCTGTTTCCTCATATAATTATCTGTAAGGCTTAGATTTCACCAATGTACAGTAACAATGATGTTATTGTTCACAATTTAGAACTTCACTTTATTTACAAATTTGCAGAACACCAGCAGACCTATGTAGAGTTTTTTTAGCTTGATAATTTACTAGAATAATTTAAAACTCTGTATTAATTGAATGTTATACTATGTCCTTCAAATTAAGAGTTATATTATTCATTGCAATGAAAAAAATCTAGTTAATGTGTTGTGATTCACACTTCTGTTTTTCAGGACTATTGTACTAAAGGGTATAAAAACTAAAATGGCCACGTTACATTTCTAAAAGGTGGATACAAGTTTGTAAAATTTGTTATAACAGCTGAAAAAAAGTTTTGGTTTTTTTACCTAGAAAAACTTGAAGTACATTAAAATCCTGGTGCCAATTCTATATCTGCTATTTTTAGGGAAAACGTAGGTATTATGACACAGTTCCAGTGTCATTTTCATGAAGACCAACCCTAACAGTTAATATTTTCTTGGTGCTGTTAAGTCCTTGTTGTGGTAAAATTAGGTTTCATGATTCTGTAACATTTAAATTTGAAATAAAGTGTGTTCTCATTACATTTACACCAGAACAATCACTTTTAAGGCTGCTAATAGTTTAGTATTTAACAAATGGTTACCAAAATAAGTAAATGTTAGCATTCATATTTGATGAAGAGTATAAAATAAACATGTTATTTACATTAAAGCAAAGCTTCACATACACCACTTTAATAATGATACAAGAAAAGACCTTTCAAGGGTTTTCTAAACAGTATAGCAAAAGCAAAATCCAGGACTTCTAAGTTTTACATGAATTCTACCAAAGGAGTTTTAATCTTGTATCCTTCATGTTTGTGAGTCTTGCTGTTCAGAATTTCTCCCTTTATATTTCCATCCTGGCTTCCCAGTTCCTGATTATCTGAACATCTAGAAAAGTAAAAAGCCTTGGTGCTACTCATACATACCCCAAAAACTGAGGATATCAAACACTTCTGTGTCATAATACTTGTTGTAAGTTCACTCAGGATGATGGGGATGGGGGGGAGGAGAGAGTCCCAGGATGTAACCACCTAAGAAAATATTTTATTTTTTCCCAACAATACTTGAAACAGACCTTTAGAATTTTTCTTCAAACTGTTTAAACATTCACTTTTCTTGGAATCCATTAAGACAGCTTACTGGATTACTTAATGAACAATTATTAATGGACTATTGACAAAGATGTCCTTCCAGCAATGTTTTTTTTTTTTCTTTTTTTAATTTTGGAATGTGGAATCTTGGTTAGAAATATTTCATTGGGATTTGTGGAAGAAATTAAGATAGGAATTCTGGTTAGAAATATTTAATTAGGATTTGTGGAAGAAATTAAGATAGAGAATTTGTTGAGGAAATCTAAAGACCTGGCTAGCAGTACATTCAGAGCTCCAGACTTCCAAAGGGCTACCATACCCCTGAGAGCAAGCTGCTGCTTTTCTAAAGTTAGCAGTTAATAAAAATTAACTACCCGAAAATAATAGATGAAAACTGGGCTTTAGAAAAGCCAAGCCCCATCCTTGTTTACAGCAAGCATAAAACCAGATTTCTAATCCGTAGGAGCCACAATCACCTATTGATTGCGACGACATCTGTGCCCCTGTTTTGGGAAGCAGGGTTTTCTGCGGAGGCAGGGCTGAAAAATCCGACCATTTCCGTGAGCCTGTGTAATCAACAGCTGACAGACCTCTGAGGAAGGAGTCTTGAAACCCGCACCTGGGCTCACTCATTTCTCACCTATGGATGGACCCAATTAAAAGTCCTCCCTTCTGTCTTCAGAAGTTATTCGTTTCAAAAATGCAATCTGTGAAGTAGCATCACTAGAACTCAGTGGTACTCTCTAGCAGACAAAGGGTGAAATGCTTTGTGCGCCACCAAAGACAACCTCCTTCGCCCCAGGCCAGCCCAGAGTAAGCCACTGAGCTCCGAACGAATCAGTTCAGCAGTGGGCACATAATGACCTCAAAGATCAGAGCCTCTTAACCCCTTTCTTACCCCAGAGCTTCCCTCAGGATAAAGTCTCTTAACTATCGTAGACCTGTCTGCTGGGGGCTGGAGGAGGTGGAGGGTGGGTTAGCCGGATTGGTCCGGAGGGCGACCCCTTAATCCTGGACCAAGTTTACATCGCACAAAGCTCCTGACTAAGGATAGTTGCCAAACCGTGAAGCCAAGGCCAAGGCATTGACAGGGACCACCTGGGGATGGGGAGTGTGTGTGTGTGTGTGTGTGTGTTTGGTGGGGGGTGTGTGGGAGAAATAGAGTGGATACTAAAGCCGAGTTCAGAAACCATCCCCTCCCCCTGATGCAGGCTGATTAGTAGCCGAGGCACAAGAGAAAGCGGATTCGTTTCCGCTCTCACTTCTCAAGATCACACTCAAGTTCAACCCCTGACTCCCACAAGAGGTCTGAGCAACCAGGACCTTTTCTCAACCTATCCTTAAGGAACAACACCTGATGTTGCGGGAGGGTACAGCCTGTAGGAAATGCGTAGGAAGGGCAGAGGAGAGACAGTAAGGGGTCAGGAAAAGAGAGCCTGGGAGGTAGAGGAAAGGTCTCTGCCACCTGGTAAGCTTGTTTTTTCTCCAGCGGGAGGCCCCGGGCCCCGGAGAGCCGTTTTAAGTTAGGACTTGTAAACTCTTCTGGGCAGCCTGGCTAGCGTGACGCCTTCTGGAAACCGGGTGTGGGTTTTCGACTGGTTTCTAAAGGTGAGCACTACGCGAGCGCCTGGCTTTCAACCCTTCAGGCTGCTAGAGTCCCCGAACGAAGCAAGCGCAGTGGCGAACCCGGACTGTCTCGGCATATTGCTCCTTCAGGAGCAGCGCGATCAAGCTACAACCCACTCCTGCCCCACACTGCTCCGTTTTCTTCAATTTAAGGGGAGAGTGAGCGGCTTTTACGCCGCACATCCTAGTGCCGGGTCGGAGCGAAGGTGACGCGTGCTTTCGGACCTTCAGAACATAACCTAGCCAACCGAGGAATGTTGGAAGGGGAGAAGTAAGGGAAGGGAGAACTGGCAGCCCCCGACCAGAGTAGGCGAAACTGAAAGGAGAGCGGATGGTGGTGAGATGGGGCAGAAAAAGAAAAACAAAGACGGGGGCATCTTTCACTTAAGGTTCTATACTCGCCAATTGCCCAAGTACAGTTTTCTGAAAGAATTTGGACAGTGGAGCCTGTGACCAAACCCCCAACTGGGACACTCAGCTGGAACCAGTTCGCATGCATGGGAGCTCCCACTTCCAGGGCACGGGTCAATCATCCCACGAAGATGTCCTTGTCCCTGATCTTCAGCTATCTCCCTCCCACTCACTTCCCTGGACAACCTCTCTGTTCTTCCTCCTTCCCTTTCCTGCCACGTCCCAGAACCCAGCCGGCTAACCCAATCCCTGCCCTAGAGTCCAAGTTCCAGGGTTCACTGTGTGCGGAGCAGGGAGAGCATGCCCGCTGCCCCCTGGGGGCCCCTCTAGAGAGGTAAGTGTTGGGGGAGAGAGTGGGAGGTGTACACTGCCCGGTGGAAGGCGCGGAGTGTTTGCAGCCCCACCTTCCCAAGTTCTACCTGCCTAGTCCACCTGTCGCCGGGTCAGGGATGTAGGGAGGTCCGGGGTTAGCCACCTTCAACTTTATTTTGTCAGGACCTGGAGGGCATGCGAAGGGTAGAGGAGGGTCCCACAAAGAACTGCGGAGTAGCCAGGAAGAAAAACGGGGTGAGGCAGGTGCCCAGTGACCTGCACATATCCCCATGGCACGCTGGCACCCGGCCCGCTCTCCAAGAAAAGAGTGAAGTTGTGGCCAAGCAGAAAGTGGGGGAGAGAGGGTCCGAGCACAGCGCGCAGGAAACCTGAAGGTCCCAGTACTGCAGGGGAAGAGACAGACAAAGTGACTCCCTAAACCCGGCCAGGCCATCCACTGGGGCAGCCCAGAGGGTACCCAGGGGAAGTATCTCTCCCCTGTCCCTGGTGCGCCGCCCCACAGCTGCCAGCTTGCTCCAGGGACCTGCCACCGCTGTCGCCGCTGGGGGTCTTGGCTCAAGGGCTCACCCAGCACGCCTCCCGCAGCAGCCCTTTGACAAAAGAGCCTTCTCTGCCGTGGGTAGCGCGGGCTCTCCTATTCTCTGGAACTTTCTCCGCGCAACTTTTTCGGGGCGGCGCTCGTCCCTGGACCGTGCGGGCTCCAGCACGCGGACCTGGCCAGGGCGTAGCGCCGGCGCAAGGGACCCACGCAGGGGACGATCCCAGTCCAGTCCCGCGACACCGCCCCTCTGCCTACCCCTCCCACGAAGGGACGTATTAGCGGGCCGGGACGCTGGTGGGCCTAGTAACCTGGAGTATGTGTGCCCGCTCGCTCGCGCCCCGCCGCCTGCCCGTGCGCCGAGCGCACCCAACCCGGGCAGGCCACCACTGCGCGCCGGGTGCTTCCAGCCGCTTCTGTCGGGAGGCAGCCCTCTCCATCCGGCGTCCGCTTCCGCACCCGAGAGTGACAAGCAAAAAATGGTTCAGTGCAACTCATGCACCGGGAGGAAGCAACTGGCGCCGCTCCTCTCTCCAAAAAGGCGCCCTCCTGCGTCCCTCCAGAACTCCCGAGAGGCATCAACACCTTCCCACAACTTTCTACGCCCAGGCCATTTGTAGCCCACCTGCGAACGCGAACTCCAGACCTGCGCCCCGAGAACCCTCTTGCCCTTCTGCGGGGTGCGCTCCCCTCCCCCATCTCCCCATCTGGCTGGAGTTAGCCGGACCCGGGGAGCCTCGGTGTCTGCGGGCTCGCTTACCTCGCATGGTGTGGCCGCTCTCCCGCTCCGCGTAGTCATGAAGCTGCTCCCAGCCCGAACCGCGGAGCCCAAAAATCCTGCTCAGCACGAGTGAAGAAGGTGGTCGGCAAAGAGCTGCTCCGCCGAGAAAACCATCCCTTTAGGCGGACGCCGTGGCCGGAGGGTGACGTTTGCCGCCGCCGCCGCTGCTATGCTAACAGTTTTGATGGTGGTGGTGATGACTGTTTTGATGGTTGTTTGGTTGTTTGTTTTCGGGAAGGGTGAAAAAAATGTGCTGTCTGGCTGGTGCCTGGGTTTTGTTTTGCTTTTGTTTTTCTTTTTTCTTTCTCTCTAATGTGCTTGCTTTTTAAAAATGCCACCGCCTCCGGCTCAGAAGATTTCTTTTGTGATCACTTGGACTGAGGAGGAGGAGGAAGGGCAGCCGCAGCAGGAGGAGGAGTTGGTGGTGGTTTTGTTAGTTACAAAGAAGAAGGAGAAGGAGCAAGGGGGGGGGGAGGAAACAGAAAAGGAAGAAAGGCGGTGTGGATGGCAGAGCATGTGCGTTTTCACATGACATCTGTGCCTGTTAGCGGATCCAGTGAATTTTCACTGTTCAGTTACAGGGAGGAAGGGAGCGAGAGAGAAAGAGAGGAGAGAGATGGAGAGAGCGAGCCGAGAAGGGGCTTATACGCGAGGGCGGGCTCGGCCGGACTCCGAGGCCCCGCCTCCTGTCAGCGCCGCCGCCTATCAGCGCCCGGCAGCGCTTGGAGGGGCCGGGCCCCCGGGGGAGGGGACGCGATTCCCGGGGAGAGGCGGGGGTTAGGGACACGGGAGCCCGAAGGCGGCCGGAGCTGAAGCCGGTCACTAGAGACTGTCCGAACTGGGCAAAGGAGAGGGAATGGCCCAGAGAGTGGGGCAGATCGGCAGGTGACATTCACTTCCGACTCCAGGAGGAGGGAGAAGGCACTGACAGTCCTTTTAGAGGCGAGAGTCGTGGGGCTCCCCGGGTCCCACGTTCCGTCCCTCTCTCGCAGCGGCTGCCTGCCCCGATAGTTAGTTCTGAATCTCTGGCAGCGCTCTGCAGAGTCCTCTTTCGGTAAACTCCGAATCTCTGGCGGGGGTTTCCATGAACAGGACGCTTCAGTTTTAGTGGCAGAATCATGCAAATCAACTTCCATCACTTTGAGCGTAACCAAAATGCAGTCCCATGCAAGTGCCATCCGCTTCCTTTCAAACCATCTTTCTGATGCTTCCCGCCCTGAATCCTAAAAACAGAAAACACGACACACTAAGATTTCTTCAGTTTTTTAAAAAATTATTTTTAAAATATTTACTACTTTCTTTTGTCAAGGAAATTTTTATTAGCATTTGGAAATCTCCTGGCATTGGGCTACCCTATTCAAGGATAACGGCCCCAGCTGACTGTGGTTATCCCAGTGATGCCAGGGAGGTGGCTGAGGCCAGAGGCATGATTCTGTGGTGCTGCTTATTTGATAAAGGTGCAAGGGTTCTAGGAGGGAGGAATTTCAAGCCCACTTGCTATGAGAAGACATTTATCTATGTATTGGAGACTGGCAATTAAACGTAAGTATTTTGTATTCCTTAGGTGAAAACTGTCATCTATGACCATTTATTTGTATTTTGATAAAAATTCAATGCATATATCAAAACTGTTCCTTTGCAAGTTTTCCCCTCTCAGTGGACACAGTAAACATATAGTGATCACATCTACTCCCTGGCTCCCCACCATAGTAGGTTAATTGGTCCCCTAAAAGACAGGGGAAAAATTTGCTTCTTCTACTCAGTCTTAAGACATTTGAGGCTCCTACTCATTAGTGTACCTGTTGGCAGAGCAGGCCTCATCATCATTCACCTGTACAAATAATTTGATTTTTACTGGTATTTATTCATATTATGTCATGTAACACAAAGTGCAATGCAGAATTGGCGATTATTTAGTTAATTACTGCACCCTACACTGCCAAGTAGTCCCCCCCCCACTTTAAATAAAAAATGGATTACTTGCTGAATCTTTAGTGCTAAATTGACTTAGCCCTGCTATATGCCCTTCCATTTGCAAGCCAATGTGTAATTTAGGAAAATTTTACTATTAAGAGTGCAAGTTGATTGAGTCTTTAATTAAATGAAATGAACAAAAGGAAGTTACTGTTCAGAATAGTTATTCCCTTATAAATACCTTTCCCCTAGATTTGTAATTGACACAGTAGTTAATCTTTTAAGATAATATTTAAGGCTCCCCAGTTTTATCATTTTTAATCAAGTAAAATATATTCATCATAACTACATTAAAGCTGCACTAAGTTATGCCTAATTTAGTTGCTTCATTAAAAATTACTGAATATAAAATAGTCAAGAAACAAATTGTGACTACATCATTTTAATTTTATGTGCTTGAAGCAGAGACACAGGAATGTTGAAAGTTCTTTAAAGCCTTTGTAAACACTGTAATTATTATTGTTGTGATTATTTTAGTTTCTATTTCTGATTAAAGAGAAATTTCAAAATTCAGGAATTTTAACTCTTCTAGTCTTACATTGCTGAACATTTATTGAATTCTTAAATTTCTTTTACTGCTGCAATATCTGTAATTCTTAAAAAAGATAGTCAACACATATAAGTGCCTTTCCCCCCTCCTACACATTTTTATATGTCCTTTGCTTTGTCGGTTCAACAATGCATAATTTTGCTTAGAACTCTATCACACAGTTCTTAATCCCTTCCGAAAACTTCTGAAAAAAATTAATTAGAAATAAAGACTTAAATTTATCATTTTAAAAACTGTATTATATTATACATAGTGGTACAAAAGTATTTCTTTTTTAGAGTGGAATAAATATTGGTCATTGGTTATACTGTGGCGATCTGGGACATTTTGGATCTTCCTAAAAATTAAAAAAACTGAGTTCTTGAGCTTTCCTAGTAAGTTGCAAATTATGTCAACTGAATGGAACTCATTTGTGTAAAATAAATATTCAGGACTTAAGTTAAAGAAATCAGCATTTTCCAGAAGTCATAAAATACTTATGATTATCTGATATTTTTGTAACCTATCTGCCAGCAACTATCCCTATTTTTATTGGCATAATAATATATTGATATAATGACCTTATTCACATGAAGTGAACTTGAATGATTACGTTATGATTTGGTTTCCTATAATCTTGAAACTCTGCTTTTGTCCCTGGGTCGAAGGATGTTCTAAGTTGATAATTTTAAATGAAAATCAGCAGGTCACATAGCACTGTACTTAATCTAAAAAATTGATATAATTTCACTTTTGTTCCTGCTAACCTGCTTTCTGGACATACCACCATCCCTCAGATTTAGCTATAAGGCCACAGAGTAATAATGACAAGAAATATCCTGACAGAGGCAAGGGTTTATTATGAGCCAACTAGTTAGGGTGAACACGGCATTTAGGATTATTTCAATTCTAAAATGCTTGAACCAAATAGGAAGTAATGGTTCACCATATGCTGAGCTGGCGAGTCTATAGAGACTGTTTTAAAGAACATGAATCTCAGAGGAGGAACACTGGCAATATTGATAATAATATTACATTTGGAATGACTAGAAGACTGGGTGTTTAGGGGGGCTATGTGGCTGTGAAAGTTGAGAAAGATATATAAAGCTATCTTAAATATTGGGAAAATGAGGAAAAAAAGAACTTTAAATATTTACCTATGAAAAATGGAAATGGTCAAGTACTGAGCTTACTGTTGCTGGAGGCATCCAAGAAAGATTGAAGGAAAAGCTTCGGTAAAGATGCTCTACTATACAGATTTCTCTAGTAGGCTGAAAATAGTCTAGTTTAGCTCCAATATCCTCTGCAAGTGTAAGTATATTCACATGGAGGTAATTACTACAGCCCCAGCAGCTGTAACAGCTCTGTTACCTAAGGAATGGAAGCTCCATGAGAGCACAGGCCAGGATTTCCCTAGAGTTTGGAAGAGCTCTTGGTACTTTATAAGGTATGTGATAATTATTGGCTGAATGGATACTTTCCACTGTTTGTCCACTGGATAAGAACCAGAAATATAGCAAAGACTTATCTGAATAAGATCTTTTCTTTCTTAGTTTCCAATGAATGGAAGGTGGGGTCAGGGGTGGGAGGGTAGGAAAGAGGGAGAGAGAGAAGAGATTTTTTCTTTTTCATTTTAAACTCTCCTAATTTGGGTAAGAAAAAAAATGATGTTTGGGTTTGGTTACATAATTATAAAAGAAAGTAAAACCTAATTATTTTCATATTTATTACTATTCTATTATATTATCAGATGAAGAGTCTTCATAATCTTTTAGTACTTTTAAGTTCTGCTTCATTTTTAAGTATGGATGCAATTTCAACAACTTTTCAGAATGAAAAAAGAGAAAATATGCTAAAAATGTATAGCTGGTGCTTTATGTAATAAATTGGAAAGAGTGCGTGTGGGCCAAAACAAAATGAGCCCCAATATGTGGGATAAAAGGTTAGGTAAGCCTTAGGAAAATAACAAACAGATTAGGAAAAAACAAAAGAGCTAACATTTATTGGATGAACTACATGGTCTATCAGCCTATCTGATTTCTATTTCCTAAAAAAGCCTACATGGTGTGTATTATAGCTCACTACCCTAACCCCTGCCCCCCGCCCCTTTTTAAAGATAAAGAAACACAGGCTTAGAAAGGTCAAGGAATTTGCCTAAGATCACAAATCTAAAAATGCTGGATCCGTGATTCAAACCCAGATATAGCCTCTAAATTGTAAATTCTATGAGTACAGGAACTTTCCTGATTTTACTTTTTTCAGTGCTGAATCCCCAGAATCTAGCATCTTACCTGGCAAATAGTAGATGCTCAAAATACACTTGCAGATGAATAAATGGACATTTGAACTCTTTCCCACCGCACAGTATGGCATGTCCACACACTCTAGGACTGAAGCTAGTTATTTGTTAAATGCCATTAAATAAAGAACAGTGAATTTTGACTTTGAGGATAAAAGGACACTGTGAAAAATTTATTTAATAATTATCTAATGCCTGATTCAGGTCCATTATGGAGTCTAGGAAATACTTTTGTAATAAATATATCAGGTCATAGATAATTTGGGTCTGCATTAAAACGGCACCAGTGAAAATGAAAAAAAAAAAACAAAGAGGAAAGGTTGATATATTTTGACAACCAAAAGCTACAAAGTCTAGTTAATGATTCTGTGGTGGTGCTGGTGGGCAGTGTGTTGGTTATAGTGATGGAGAAGTCAAACAAATCTTCATGAGTAGGAAGCTGATATAATGAATATACCATTAATAGAAATAAGTAAGGAAGGCAGAGTAGGTTCTTGAATAAATAGGGGAAAATGTTGAGATTAATTTTCAGTTTTGGTGTGTATGTAGAACTGGAGATTTGGTAATTGTTAAGAGGTGAAAATAAAGATTTTTAAGACACTCAGAAACATTAAGGAGAAGCAAAATAATATGAGAAGAAACCAAATGTCTCTTTTTAATGGGTAGGATGGAGGGATAAGCCAGCGAATATGAGGATGGATGGGCAATGGTGGACTACATTGCTATTGTATCAGAGAAGTCGAAGTAGGTAAGAGTTTCAAGGAAGAAGGAATGATCAACAGAGTCAGACAGGCAGAGAACCCAAGGGCCATCGGGTTTGTTGATTAGGAAGTTATTAGTGATTCTCAGGAAAGCTTTAGGACTGAGGAGTGAACAGCTATTAAGACATGGATGGATGCAGGAGAGTATTTGGATTATCCTTT